AATCTTCCTCACCAAAAAAAAGAAAAAAAAGAAACTGATCTTTCAGGCTACACACAAATATTGCCTATTTTCCTCTTCAGAACCTGCCCGGTAGGGTTATTTCATCAATAAGCTCCAGCATAAGTGGGCAGAGATGAAAAACGTGGAGATTTCCCTATCTACAAAGACAGGCTCTAAATAAGTCATACTTCAAACTACCTTATATATGTATTTAATTTTAGTTAGTTACTTAATGAATCTTAACTTATTTTATCCTCATGACAAACCTATGAGTTAAGTACAGTTGTCATCAGGCCCATTTTACTGATGGTAAGTGAGGCAGGGAGAGGTTAAGCAACTTGCTCAAGTTCATATTGCTGGTAAATAGACAAAAATAGAATTCAAATCCAGAAAATGTTGTGTCAGAATCAGAGCTTTCCTTGTTGGCTCTCTAGATTCAGTTAGTAGATTTGGGCTGAGTCACTTCACAAGGGGCTACAGCTTTGGGAAGACAGTGAGAACAATTGTTACATTCTTATTGATCAGATAAACTATATGGAACATGTCCACATAACTACAATGTGACTATGGTCAACTGTAGTTTTAAAGGTAAAGACCCTGATATGTGTGCGCTTTTCTAACACATTTTACATCACATTTCTACTAGACACCTGAATGTTAGAACATTCATCTCCCATACTCAGTGGATTAGATCTTTTATCTCTCTGGCTTGCAGAGAAAAATTTTTGATATGGCTATGGGTGAACTGCCATCTTTAACGCTGTCAACATCAGGAGATATACTGAGTTCATTTGCCACAATTCTTTTCCTTCTAAATGTAATATGGTTCTTTGGCAAGCTGGAGATGAATTATCTTACACTTCGATGACCTCTGTAAATAAGAGGCATATGGTCATTCTTAAAAAAAAAAAAAAAAAACCCAAAGAAAAACCTATGAAAGTAATATATGTTTGTCAAAATTGAAACAATGTGATGAGATATCAGTGAAAACGGTAGAATAGGGAACTCCAAGGTCCTGTCCCTGCACAGAAACAGCAAGTAATCTGGCAAAAACTGTGAGAATCAACTTTATCTGAACTCTGGAAACTAGTCAAGGTTTACAGCAATCAGGCAAGCACTTAATAAGGGAAAAGGCAGCTGATTCTTAGTAAGGGTCTTGACGACACCAAACTGAGTTCTTGGTGTGGGTTCCTGGTGCTGGAGGAAGCAGAGCAGACCCTGTTCTCAAAGAACTGTGGTTGTTTGTTTTGGCCTGTCTGTTGGTTCTCTGATAGATTGTGTAAAGTGCTTACCTCTATTTTACCAAACTCAGGAATCTCTCAGGGCAGAAAGGCAACTACCCAGGCCATTTGTCAAAAACATTCAAAGGCAAATTTATTAGCCGGTGCCACATGCAGCAAGGGATAGCAGCTGGGGCATAAAATAGACACATGAAAAAGCTTGGAAGGAAAGACTGGGAGTGAGATGCTTTGGGAATATAGGCTTTGAAAAGTCCCCATATTACTTGGCCATGTGCATGCCCAAGGTGAAGTACATACTCAGAGAGACCAGAGAAGGCCCTAAATTCTCACCTCTGACTGATCTTCAGGCTCTGCACAAGCAGAAAGTAAAGGCTAAGGAAAAACTGCCTGAGTATTGAAGGAATGCCTCAACACAGACACAGAACCTACTGGCAAAGACTGAGAGTTGTTTTTTTTTTCTGGTTCCAAGCTTTTAAGGAAATCTCTGCCAAATCATTAGCTGACCACTAGGCTAATCAGAGACTTCGGTGACCACACATGGCAAAGAATATACACTTTACAAAATCAGTTCAGAAAAGTCACTAGGCAAACAAACAACACTAATCACAAGCAGTAAAAAACAAACAAACAAAAACCCTGGGGAGGTGGGAGAATCTGATTACCACAATATATAGTCAAAATGTCCAGTATTCACGAAAAATTACAAAGCATGCAAAGAAACAAGAAAGTATGGCCCACACATGGAAAACATAAATTAATACAAATTGTCTCTGAGGAAGCCCAGACATAGGACTTACTAGACAAAGACTTTAAATCAACTATTTTAAAATATGCTCAAGAGCACATACAAAGAACTAAAGGAAAGTATGAGAATGATGTCTCACCAAATAGAGAATATCAATAAAGAGACAGAAATCTTAAAAAGGAACCAAAGAGAAATTCTGGACTTGAAAAATACAATAACTGAAGTAAAAAATTCACTAGGGGGCTCTAAAGCAGATTTGAGCAGGCAGAAGAAAGAACCAATTAACTTGAAGATAGGTCAATATGAGGAGCACAAAAAAGAATGAAGAAAAATGAACAGAGCCTAAGAGACCTGTGGGACACCATCAAGAGTATCAACTTACACATAATGAGAACCCAAGAAGGAGAAGAGAAGAAGTGGCAGAAAAAATATTTGAAGAAAAAATGGCTGAAAACTTCCAAAATTTGATGGAAGACATAAATCTACACATCCAAGAATTTCAACAAATCCTAAGTAGGATAAACTTAAAGAGGTCCACATCTAGAAGCATTATAATCAAATTACTGAAAGATAAAGACAAAGACAAAGAGAGAGAATCCTGAAAGCAGCAAGAGAGAAGCGACTTGTCATGTACAAAGGATTCTCAATAATGTTAACCCTAATTTCTCATCAGAAACCATGGAGGCCAGAAGGTAGTGGAATGACATATTCAAAGTGCCAAAAACAATAAATTGTCAACCGAGAATTCTATATCTAGCAAACTATCTCTCAAAAATGAAAGAAATTAAAACATTCCAATTAAACAAAAACTGAGCATTCATTGCTAGTAGACTTGCTCTATGAGAAATGCTACAGGGAGTCATTCAGGCCGAAAGAAAAAAATACTAGACAGTAA